AATCCACAAACACTGAGACCATGAGACACAATATGATGTACATTATAACATGCATACAATTATAGATGGTTAGTTGATTACTGTGTAATGGTAAGCACTATGATTGATTACAATATACAATGAGTTTTGATAAGAGTATAAGTGATTGTATATTCACAAATGGTGATTATAATAAAAGTAGGAACATGAGTCTATAATATGTACCACAACTATACTACACTTATTAGATATGTACCACAACTATACAACAATTAATACATAATATGCATGTGACAGTGATAACAGTATCAAGTGATATGTATCATGACTGATAACAGTTCTAAAATAAAAAATGTTGGAGCAGAAGAAATTGTTTGGTTGAAGTAAACATTGCAGATGCTTTACAACAGAATTTTCACCTTCTGCTGAAATCGATTAGTTATAGTAAAAGGATGCAACTTGGCAGACAAATTGCATAAGATTGAGTTTTGCTTGGTGGAACAGGAGATTTGGTTGGTGGAGACTTCCTTGAGCAGCAAACATAGTAGTAGTTTTAAGGGAAATATTTTTAATTTCTCATTAATTTCAAATTCTTTTTCCATGTTTTTCTCCAATGTATTGGAGAATAACATGGAAATTTTTCAAGACTTCCACGTATCTTTTTTACTAACTTTTTTTTTTTAATTTTTCTTTTCTTGTTTTCACACATTGATTCAAACATGCCTAATTTATTGCAATCTTGCCACATTGTATCCTACATATTACTGAAAATACATAAAAATATACATTTAACAAACAGGTATAATAATATGTAGTTTTTAAGTTTTGAAAGCTTTTGAAGCCAGAGATATAAAAAAAATCAAAATCTGATTGTCAGCGAGTGTAAGAGTAGAAGTAAGCGAGTGTAAGAGTAGAAGTAAGCGAGTGTAAGAGTAGAAGTAAGCGAGTGTAAGAGTAGAAGTAAGCGAGTGTAAGAGTAGAAGTAGAGTGAAAGAGTAAGTGGCAAGACTCAAAATAAAATATTAAAAATTTGTTAAACAAAGACTACGCTAACATTAGTCTTGCTAAGATTGATTGGAGTAAGAATTTGAATCAGAGATAAATCTTTTTAATTAAATTCTTCAGAATCAGAGATGCATTAGTTTCCAGCAGATAGGAAAGAAGTTATTCACTAAAAATTTTAAAGAGTATTAAAAAGAATACTTTTAACAAACAGTGAATTATTTTAGATATATTTTCCAAGCTGTAGCTTAAAGTTTAAGTAAAAAATAACTATAAAAATAGCAACAGAAACCTAATAATTGTGAAGTGTGTAATTGCGAACAGAAACCTTACAATTTGTTATTACAATTGTTGTTACAATTACAGGAAAAGTGTAGTTATTAAATTAAAAAGATAAATTAACTAAAAAGATATTTACTAAATTGTCAGCTTTATACTTGAGAGAAGTACCAAACCTTTGGTGGAAATATCAATCCCATGTATGGGTGATGGAATGTTAAACTTGTTTGTTAATAACATTTTTAAAGTTTTTTCTTAAAATGATATTTTTTCCAAAAGGCTTCATAACTTATTTTTTGAAATAAAACATTTAGTAATCTACCTTATCACAAGAAATCGCACTTAGTCAAAGATTAGACATATTTTATATCAATTACTTGCATTGCTAAAAGATTTTAGTTCTCAAAAGAGTTGTTCTCATAAAAAAGATGAAGAAATTAAAATTAGAATAAACAGCTGCACAAGAGGAAAAAACCATGGGATATAGACTTAAGTAGAAACAGACAAGAAAAAACCATGGGATATAGACTTAAGTAGAAACAGACAAGAAAAACCATGGGATATAGACTTAAGTAGAAACAGACAAGAAAAAACCATGGGATAAAGACTTAAGTAGAAACAGACAAGAAAAAACCATGGGATAAAGGCTTGACTAAAAACAGACAAGAAAAAATATACTTTCATTACAACCGGGATCCAGGAGATTAGGTAGAAAGCAGTAAACAATGGTAACTGTATTAACTGTCTGTCTATCCCTTGCAGTATCAACTGATCCATGCTCATTAGTCTTAAGTCTGCTGATGAATGATTCGAAATTTAAAATACTTTGAGAGTCACATACAGTTATTATTCTAAGATCCCTAAGCAATATTCATCTTTTGTTGAAAAAACAAAAAATGAATATTGCTTGGGGATTTTGGAATTTTTTGTTGAAAAATCCAAGCTAATTTAATTCAACTACCAATGAAGCAGCCTCTACAAGAAACAAAACCATTTTATAAAAAGGACTGACTGAAGAGCTGTGTTAAATTTTGACTGATATAGTCCTTGCATGTAGATAAAACCCCAAAAAAATATGTTAAAATTTAGAAAGAAAAAAAAAAAAAAATCTTTATGGAGTTTAAAAGATCCCTTTATTTTTCAGGAAACTAACAATTCTATAAAAGGTTTATTGTTGAATACTTAAACAGACAACTCAAGCTAGGATATAAATTTTGCAATTAAGTTCTAAACTAGGTTAAGGATTGCCTTAGTAACAAAAAACAGGGTAGGTGTGTTGTGTCTCAGAGTTCTGCAATTGGTTTACTGTTCCTAGTTTATGAATGCTATGCCTGATTTCGCCAAAATTGTTTGTAAGATTATTTATGATGATTGCTAGCTAGTTTCCAAAATCAAAAATATTTTAGACATAACTGTTGTGCAAAAAGACAATAATGCTTAATATGTTCTCAACAAAAGAAAAACAAAGAAAACAAAGTTCTGCACCAACAAATGCAAAATCATCAATTTTATTGGTTTCAATATTTTATTTTTTATTATATATTTATCAGATTTATCATATTTCATCTGAAAATCTGTTTGTTAATTTTTGATTTTTGAAAATTGTCAGTTGAGAAATCCATAGGAGTTTTTGTTTAACTTAAACTTGTATTTTAGAGAAAAGATGATTCGTCACAGATTATTTATATTTACAAACTCTAACAGAGTTTTAAGTGAAACAAAATAGTAATATCTTCAACGAGTGAGAAGCAGTATATGAAAAATAACAATGGAAAAACATGAAAACATATGGAAGAAACAATACAAGTGTTTAAATTTAAAACATACAATCTGTGGTTATACTTGACTACAGTGCTGACTACAGTTAAATTTGTCTTCTTGGCAAACAAATTTAACTGTAGTCAACACCGTAGTGTTGACTACAGTTAAATTTGTCTGCCATTTGATTGTCCAATCTAATGGTCTGCTCATTTTCACAACCTTTCTCCCTTAGTCTTTTTTTAGGGTTAATTGAAAAATAGTGAATACAAGGTGAATTTCCCTATAATTGGTGAACTTCATGAACAGATTAAGCAAATGTGTGCAGAAATAGACATAGACATGTGTGAAAGAGCTTGCAAAAATGTAGTGGTTTGTTTGAAATGCTACCAAGAGCTAGATAGTAAACAAGCCACATACTGTTTTCTTATTTTGACAAATGATAAATTTATGAAACATTAAAACACAAACTTTGACAAACAAAGCTGCTGCATAAAAAAAAAAGTTAAGTTTGCCACAACCAATGTTGTAATAGGATTCAGCTACAGAAAATATAACATTTATAATATCTAAGAGCAACTGCATTTGTTATCAATGCTTCTATTTGTACCTACAATATTGCAGAAATAATTATTAAACCAAAAAACCTAAAAGTTGTCAGTGTAACATTTGAAAAAAAGATGTAGTGTGGTGCAATTATATTGGTGTGCTTACAAAAAGAAGTGATATTAATGCAAGAAAGACCAGGTAAAAACAATTTGTATACACAAGGATATCTTTAATAATAAGTATCATACTAAAAAACTTTTAGTATGATACTTATTATTAAAGTGTGTATATGTATATATATATATATATATATATATATATATATATATATATATATATATATATATATATATACATATACACACACACTATAGCCAGCGCTTTCGCGCTTAAGTCTTCTTGCCCACACACCCGCAAAAACTTTGGTGAGCGTAATAAAGCGCTTTTCAAAAAAATAAAAGCGTTTTGTTTTAAATTGCAATAAAACATTTTTGTTTATTTGTTTGAATTTATGAAAAATGCTTTTTTTTTACCAGTTTTTTTTTTAATTATTTCATCTAGTATTTATTCAAAGCATTCTTTCCGTTATTTTTATTTTAATTTAAACAGCAGAAAAAAAATAATTTTTTAAATTGCACAGACTAACTTAAAAATGACCATCTTGCCAGCACTTTTTCATGCACTGGCATCAAATTTTAAACAGTACATAGTGTATTTATGTAACAAACTGAAAAGCGCATTTATGTAACAAACTGCTACCCTATTTTTGTTACATTAATTTATATGGCGTATTCAGAAAAAGAAGAAAAAAAAAAATGAAGAACAATGAAAGAAAAGATGAATAAGCCAAATCTTCAGTTGATGTAGCAGCTCTCCCTTGCAGCAGCAGGCTATTTCAGTGTGATTTCGGAGTGCTTATCTAAACACGTATATATATACATATATATATATATATATATATATATATATATATATATATATATATATATATATATATATATATATATATATATCTATATATATATATATATATATATATATATATATATATATATATATATATATATATTAGGGATTATAGTAAAATAATATGTAATATATATTATATTACTATTTACAAAATTATACAAATAATTTTGTAAATATCCCCAGATCCTAAAATACCTGTGATGTTATTGACTACATTTTTACTCTAAATATCAAGATTGTTATTGTCAAAAGAGGAAAAAAAAGTTTATAATCAGAAGAATTACAAACAAAGCAAAACTTTTATTATACGCAAATGATTAATTATATTATTAATTGTATAAATACAAATAAATAAAAATCGTAGCGTACTAAAAATGACATTTAAAAATACTTAATTATTATAAATTTGAAACTTTAAAAATTATAAAATATTTTAAGTAATAATAACTGCTTTAAGACAAAACCTGGCAAACTTTGTCAAACCATCTATTCATGCTGTTTTCATGAGTACCTCCTCCATGAACCATTTGACCAATCAAATTTGAAAACTCGTACTTGTATTGAGTAGGTTCAACAGATACTGGTTGATCAAGACAAATCAAACATATAGAGTTGACAATGCAATCAACATTCTCCTTGTTTATTGAATCTGAAAAAAATATATTCTGTAAAATTATATGTATATTACAAATTAAATAAAATTTTTAAAAAATTGGAGATGTATAAAGTTAATTATTTTAATTTTGCTTTTGGAACATTTTTATTACAGATTAGCTAAAAATTTAATAAATTAAAAACTTTTTTATTTTTAATTTATTCTATCTATTTATTAAACTTTTTCTTTTTAAATTCTTAAATTTTTAAACAGCTTATTTTCAGTTTAGTTTTGTCTTAAAATAAGTAATTTTAGGTAAACATTTCTTTGGAGTTTTTAAAACTTTATCTACTTTAAATTTAAAAGGTTAACAAAAACAAAAAAAGCTTAACTAAAAAGCAACAAGATTATATGCAAAAGGGTATGCAATGGACATGTCATTAATAAAATGTGCAGCTCTGGGCTGGTCACAATGTGCTAAAAAATGTCTAAAAAAAGATCTGCACTTAGATTGGGTCAGTTTGTATTTTTTTTGTTACTAGTAAATGATTTGGCTATGTAAACTTTTTAACCTGTTTAAGTTATTTACACATGAAACCAAATTAAATTCAAAAACTAAGAGCTAATTTGATAATGAAATATTTCTAAAGGGTCTAAACCAGAGTTGCAAAAAAACAGGTTTTTTTGAAAATAACCAAAAACCATAGGTTTTTTAAAAAAAAAAAAAAAAAAAACACGGTTTTTTTGGTTTAAATTAGGTTTTTACTAAAAAATGCGGTATTTAGTTATCCTTTTAAATTAAAAAAAGCATAACGTACTTTATTTGAATAAACTATATTCTTTATAAATATTATTGTTATATTTCATCAAAATTATTCAATATATCACTGTTTAATGTTCTATATATAAATACAAGCTTTGCTGCTTTTTCTACCCCCAATTGGTTTCTTAACTTTGAATGAACAAGACCAAAAGTTGAAAAAATTCTTTCAATTCCAGCACTAGAAGCTGGTGCATTTAATAAACCTTCAATATCCATTATGTTATAGTAAATTTGGCTTTTAATTTTAATAATATTGGTAACAAATTCTTGAACTCTTTATCTGCGAAATTCATGGCAGCTTCATTTTCATTTTCAGAAAGATTAGATCCAAAATATCTAGGATCTAGTGTGTTTGCCAGGAAATGAACATTACTGACAGTCTGAAAGTATCTAGATTCAATTTTTTTTTTTTTTTTTCGTTTGATAAAAATGATAAACTGTTCATTAAATTTTTAAAAACTTCAAGTGTCACTTATTTTTGTTTGATCTCTTTGCAACTTATCTAGAGCTACTGCAATTGGTTTCAATATTTTCAACAAATCTTCTGTGTTTCGCTTTATCTGTATATCACTTACTTTTTTACCCATCATGGGATCCATATCTTTATTTTTTTAAAACATAGTGAAAATAATGCTCCAGTTGTTGACATATTTTTCAAGTGAATCACATACAGAATTCCAGCGAGTTTCAGTAGGAAGTGACAACTTTGTTCCTCTGCTTAATTTATAAATCCAGCTTGATGATTATTTCTTATATATTTTATTATTTGTGTAACATGCTTGCTCACTTTTCAATGTTAAGATAATTTGCTAAAAGATTCAGCATATGAGCAGCACACCCATAAGTTATGATAATATCTCTTTCAGATGACAATACTTGTCTCATTGATTTCATATTAGCTGCACAAAAATTGTCAGTCACAAAGCTTTTTACTGTGCATCCAAATTTACGTCTTACAAAATCTATTGCTTCTCTTGCTAATTGTGTAAGATATTCATTAGTATGAGAATGACCAGAAGTGTTGATTGTTTCTAAATGTTAATTTTATCTGTAATTACAGAGATACAAACTATAGGTTCATTATGTACATTACTCCAGCCATCTAATGGCTTCAATTTTCCCATTCAATACATTACATTTTTCAATTTCTTCTGTGTAAACCATATCTAATATTTCATCTCCAATTTGAGTTCTATTAGGTAAAGTGTATCCTGGATGAAGCATATTGATAAATTAAAAAAAAAAAGAAAAAGACAAAAATCATGGATTTAAAAAAATATATCTATATTGAAGATTAGTTATATTTGTGAACATAGTCTTAGTTTCCTGTTGTAAGTTCAAACCTTTTTAAAAAAACATTAATTTGGTTTAAACCAACATTTTTTTAATTGGTTTAAACAATGGTTTAAACCATTTGGCTAAGCCATGCAACCCTTGTCTAAACCCCTTCAAACATTTTTTATTATCAAATTAACTTTTAATTTTTGAAAGAAATTTGGTTTAATCTGCATATAGATTAAACAGGTTAAAAAAGTTTATATTAACTTCTATAGCATAGTTTTACATTAACTTCTATTTAAATAAATATAAAACTATGCATATAGAAAAAAAAAATCCTAGACTATATCAAAGCTGATATAAATACAGATACTTATGATCAAAGAAAAACTTTTATGACCATATGATCAAAAAAGATTTTTTGAACTTCTTTAGATATCATCACACTAAAAATTGATTTTAGTGTGATGATATCTAATGATTGCAAAAAATTTAATTGATTGGTGTGATGAATCAGTTCATTGGAAAAAAATTAAAAACTTGATTTAATAAAGCATATTTTTAACCATCTTAATGTGAACTCAGTGAAACTACTCTATACTTCCACATTTAAAGGATGCTGCTTCAGTCTGGAATTTATACTAAAATTTATACTAAATTTCAGTCTGGAATTTATACTAAAATTTATACTAAATTTCAGTTTGGAATTTATACTAAAAAGGATGCAAACTAATTGAGCAAATTAACAACTTTTTCTTATTGTATTCACTTCCCCAATGCTGATGGATCCCTACAATATCATTTATTGTATTCACTTCCCCAATGCTGATGGATCCCTACAATATCATTTATTGTATTCACTTCCCCAATGCTGATGGATCCCTACAGTATCATTTATTGTATTCACTTCCCCAATGCCGATGGATCCCTACAGTATCATTTATTGTATTCACTTCCCCAATGCTGATGGACCCCTACAGCATCATTTATTGTATTCACTTCCCCAATGCTGATGGATCCCTACAGTATCATTTATTATTATTTAATTGTTATTACAATTTATCAATTATAACTCCAAAAAATAAATTTGAACAAACAAGACTCATGTTTGAACAAACAAGATTGCTGCACAGAGAAACAAGTTCAACAGAAAAATATAGAGCAAAATGAAAATTAAAAATCGAAGGGCCTGGACTACAAGGAAAGACTCAAGATATTTAAACTGACATTATTAGAAGAGAGGTACCATGGGAAACAACATAATTCAATTTTTTAAGTTTGACAGGTTATTGACAAAATTGATTAGCATCATGCTAATGGAAAAATGACTAGGAAAAATATCTCAAGAACATAAGCAAAAGATCTTGCATAGTTGCTCTCAAACACAGCGAGATTTAACATTTTTACCTTAAGAAACATTTAATGCATGTAAAATTAAAGTTTTTAAAAATTTATTTGATAAGTTCATAGTTGTTAAAGTCTAACAGATATAAGTTGGGCTCAGGTGTATACATACATATTAATTCATTTTAAAATATATATTATATACTTTGAAAACATTTGAAATATGCTTTTCTTTTTGATTATTTATTATTTGAACTGCTTTCCTTTATTATTATTTTATTATTATTTCAGCTTGCATGAAAATACAAAATATTTTTTTAATGTTTTTATTTTTTTCTCTTTTGACATTAAAACATCAAAACACAAACTTTGACAAACAAAGTTGCTGCATAATAAAACAAGTTAAGTATGACCGGGGTTTAGTTGGTGTGACCAGGTTTCAGCTGCAGAAAATATAACATTTATAATAACTAACTCATGATTTATTTAGATCATAATTTAGAAAGTATTGCTTCAATACATACCAGACATAACATTAAACTACCTGTTGCTAACAATTTCCAAATTTGAGCCCAAGTATTTCGATCTTGGGTAGTGAGAACTCCAACAGAACATTCATCTTTTTCAAGTGACATACTAGTAATATGAAATAACTGCTGTATTAGGTGAGTTTCACTTAAAGGACAACCATCTTCATCATAAACATTTAACTTGAAAAACTAAGAAAAATTAAAAACTGTCAAAAAAAGTAATTTTTTTCTTGACAGAGAAAAGATTATCTCATTTATACTTCCTCTATTTCTAGACTCTGTTTCCGTTAAGACTATTATAATATTATTGATATAAGCAATTTATTATTATAGTATATTAAAGTATATATATATATATATATATATATATATATATATATATATATATATATATATATATATATACACATATTTTTCAATAATGTTAACAAGATATATAAAAAGATAAACAAAAGCCTTACAAAGGAAGAATATACATTAAAGTTATAATAATTCAGCTGTATAATTAAGTTCAGCTTGATTGATTATTTCAACTAATTTAGCTTTAAAATATTTCTTTGTCTGCATTAAAAATATTATACACTGTTCTTTCGAATTTCATCAGAAAATTGTTTCTGTTTATTGTTAAAATACATATTTGTAAGAACGTGATTTACAAATTTTACATTTTATTAATAATTTGATGATCATGATATAAGATCATCCCATAAGATGATCATCGCATAAGAATGAAGTAGCACAATCATATAATCTAAGCACCCATTCTGCAGCATATTGATCACAAAAAGTTGAATTTCTTACAAACAAAATGGCAGTATCTAATATTCCAAATGCTTTTGCAAAATAATGGGTAAGATCAATAGCTGGTAAAATCAATTCTCCACACTAAAATTTTCTAAACAACAATATTTTACTTCACCAGATTCAGCTAACAAACTTTAAAAAAGCAAATTCAGTTAATAAACTTTAAAATATAAACTTTTGAGAGTTTGAAACTTGAGATGATTGCCAATCTTTAATCCATTCGATTAAATTTCTCAAAAATAAATTTTTCATGTCACCCAAAACAGCCGCATTTCCAATACAAAAACTGTTGTTGTATTTTTGCTTACTGTTACTTATTGTCCACCATATAGGTAGACAATAAGAAATAAGACAATAAAAAGTTTTGCTGATACCAGCTTTTTTAAAGCTATTGATGATACCAGCTTTTTTAAAGCTATTGATGACAGCATCCTTTGACACAGCATTTCAAGAAGAAACAAAACCTCTCACGACTTGAAGAATAGAAATATTATCCAGGGGTTCATTATTATCAACAGCCTTGATACAGACACACAATTGTGTGGCAAGAGTGAGCTTTAAGAAGTGTTATGCCTCGATCTATGGGCTGAAGGACAGATATGGTGTTAGGGAGAAATATCAGGTTGATGTTGCTCAGCCCTTTACTGCGTGGATGGGCAGAACTGTTATTCACCAGGAGTGCTACTTTCCTGTCCTGAGCACAAAAAGACGAGTCAGGCTTTTTTATCCATTCTGTAAAAAAATCTTCAGTCATCCAACATTTTAGCTGATTTATATGTGCATAGGAGTTGTTGGGTTTTAGATTTTCCAATAACAAACATAGATAATTTTTCTACTGTTGCACTCCCTGCTGCCATGCCTGTTAGTCTGACTTTACTATTTTTTTCCCCAAACCATTTTTCTATTGTAGATACGTTTGTAAGTATTTGTTTAATGAGTATCATGTTATCTTTTGATAAAAAAATAAAGTAAAATAAACTAATCTTTTAAAGAAATACTTTTGAGAAATTTGATTCATAAAAAAAAATATAATTTTGAAAATCAAATTTTAAAAAATTTCATAGCAATACTTTTCAAAAATTGGAAATTTAAAAAATTTAATGTTAATAAAAGATTTATTTAAAAATATTTTAAGAAAATGAGAGAAAACTGCCCTGTGGACAAAAAATATTGTTCAAAATACCAAAAAATTGAGATATTAAGGTTCAAGATATTGAAAGGATTTTACCCCAAATGAGTATGTAACATCTGTAGGATGGCAAAAAATGTTTGAGATTTTTTTATTTCAAGTATTCAAGATACGGAAAGCCAACTAGTGTTCAAGTTAATATACTTTTAAAGAAAACTTTTTACTGATATATTGGACACAACAAGGAATTATAAATAAAAAATATCTTAATCTTTTTTTATTATTTAAAAAAAACTTTACTTATTTGTTATGAGAATATTTACTTTAATTCAAGTATGGTAGAATACTATTTTGTATAACTTGGAGAGATTAAATCAATATTATTTTGTATAACTTGGAGAGATTAAATTGAGGCAACAAAAACTTTAACTCACAAAAATGATTTTCTTTCTTTTTGCTTTATATTAAGGTTAAACAAATTTTTTAAAAAAAGGTTTACTTTTTTAGAAAAAAAACAACCCTAAATCTAAATCTAAAATAAAAATTTGCTGATTCTCTACATTTTATGCTTTTTTTATTGACCTGTTTCAAGGTTACCCAAAAGCTGTATCAAGGTACAGGTAAGGTATAAGGGTAGAATATCTTGACAAAAATTTCTACACTTATAAAAAACACACTGATGAAACATAATTTTTCTTATTTACCTGAGTTATATACCTTTTTCCTTTTAACATGTTTATATTATTTAAAATTTTAAAGTTTAATAAATATGCAAACAATATTTTATAACAAATTAAAGACCTGGGTCTGCAGCTATTAGATCAAAACCTCTATTTTTTCTTAAAAGCAAAAGTTTTGGCAAGAAAGCTATGAAATACTGATAATTACCAGTTACCAATTGCCAAATCCATTTTTAATAATTGCAGGCAAAACATTTATCTGGAAAGAACACTATTCTAATTAAATGAAACTTCCTTGAAAACTAGGAGATCTAATTAACTATTTCTTTATGTTATTGCATGCAACAACAAAAAAAAAAGCATATATTTATTTTTCCCTATCATTATTATTTATATCTTATTTAAATTTTTTTAGCTACAAACTTAAATAAGAAGTCATAATAAAAAAAATTTACTTGATTTTTATATACAACAACCATATGGCGAGAACAGTCAGGAGGTGCAAAAACTATAGTATCTCTGTCTGGTAGAGGAATACGACATGTTGATAAAATATTTTTATACTGCATCATACTTAAAGGATTTCCACGAGAATATTCAACAGGAATACTTTCACTAAAGAATTTACAAAATAAATGTTATATATATATATATATATATATATATATATATATATATATATATATTATATATATATATATATATATATATATATATATATATATATAGTACTTGACATATATAGGGAGCAGTTTATTGCTCTCGCAAAGGTATATTTTGTTTATTAATCACAAGCACTATCTTTTTTTTTCTTTCTATTTTTCGCACGGCTTGCCATATTCGTTTTAGGATAGCTTTTCTCCGCTCTCGCACTCATTTATTCCTACAGAGGCCTGTATCTATATACATATACACACACACACACACACACATATATATATATATATATATATATATATATATATATATATATATATATATATATATATATATATATATATATATATATATATATATATATATATATATATATATATATATATATATATATATATATATATATATATATATATATATATATATATATATATATATATATATATATATATATATAGGAAAAAGAAGCCAAGCAAAATAACAATATTCAAAAAATGAATCAATTTTTTATATTAAAGTACTACTAAGAAAATATTAAATAGTACTAGAGGCCTTTCAGTATTGATCATCAGTAGTACTATTGCAAATGTAATTATCATGATTTTGATTTATGTAAAAAGTTGTATAATATAAGTATTTAATAGCAGTTTTTGTAACTATGAGTTACCATTGTTATGTTATTATAAAAGGAAGTATTAGTTGAAGGTGTCATGTTTTTGTTCATGCAGATAATTTTCATGGATCAATAAATTATTTTCATTTTTTAATTCGAGAAAAACATAAAGCTGAAAAAATGGCTCCGTAGTTGTTTTATGTACTTTCTTGCAATCATATACATGATTGTCGAATCTATCTGTTGAATTGCCAGTTTTGCATCGTTTTTACGTCTGATTATGCTACAGAAAAAGTACGTCTAACGGAACTTAAAATTAAATTTAAAAGAGTGTCATTACTCTGATAATGTAATAGAAAAAGCATTTCATAATTTCATAATGCAAAGTTACAAGGGCCAGCGCCAATGAAACAATCTAAAGAATTTTGATTACCTTCTATAGTAATTTAAACTGTCAACCAATTTTAACTGAAGCTAACCTTTTACTTAGTTTATCTAATAATGAAAGATTAAAAAAAGTTTTTTTAAATATTCAACCAGTAATAGCATACAAACAACCACCAAACTTACTTAGAAAAATTACGCGCTCAAATTTCACTCTTCGTCATCTGTCAAAAAAAAGGTTTATTCAAATGCAAAAACAGTCGATGTAAAATCTGCCGATTATATTTACAAAAAGTAGATAAATTTGAGACATCCAATGGCACAATTTGGAACATTAAAAGTCACATTACATGTAATAGTAAAAATGTCATTTATTATCTAAAATGCTTATCATGTAATGGACTATCTACTTATACTGGAAAAACAAACAATTTAAGAAACCGCACAAATGGATCACTAACTATGCAAGTGATTACTTGCAGTAACCACTTGCATAGTTAGTGACTTACTAGAAAAAAAAAGAATAGAGCTAAAGAGCAGTAGTAGGCACAAAAGCAGTTAAAGTGAAACAGATGACAGAAGAGTAGAAAGATTGTAGGTTGTATGTGTCAGGAAGACATGAAGATAGGAGAGAGTTTCAAAGGATTAAAGTGCGCAGGGAAAAAACTAGATGAATAAAAGTTTTGAGACCATGCAGGGACAGATACAGTAAAAGAATGAGACTTTGCTGAATGACAAGTCAAGTAAGAAAGAACTTTGCTTGATGGAACTAGAGATGATAGCTCCTTTGAGCAAAAATTATAATTTTTGTAGAAAAGAGAAAGAGATGCAACTTTACAACAATGGGAAAGTGGCTCAAGCTTAACAGATAGAGCGTTTTTAGACTTTGTCTAGAAGATAAAGAGCATCATTAGAAGAACCAACTCAACTATGACAACAGTATTCTATACAGGAGTAAATAAGAGACATTTAGGTAGGGTAGAAGGTAGGAGGTAGAAAAGAGAATAAAATAGTAATAAAAAACAGCCGAATTTAAATTACTCTCACTAAGAGCAAGCAGGTCTAGTGAATTTTGCAGGAAGTAAAATTCAATTGATGGAAGATTAGTTATATTTGCAAAAGAAATATTGAAACAGTTAGGTGGTCGGGATAGTTTTTTATATTTAATAATATTTAAAATGGTTTGGTAACTATCTAGCTTTTGTTGCATAATTTGTCAGCAACACTTTGTGTTCACTTTATTGCTCATGGTCTGCAAGTTTATTAACATGATCCCCTGAATTAAAACTGTGGTTTGCAAGTGCACTTATACTCCTTTCATTTAAATGTTTACAAACAAAACAAGCAAAGCATCTAGTTGATGGTGAATACAAAAGCCAATGCGATATTAAAACAAATAATTTTGACAGTATTGTAACATCATTGCAACCAATAGCTGACCTAAGTTTCGTTGATAATCCATAGAGCAGAATCTGTTTGTTGCACATTTTTAGGTTCAAAAGAACAAGTATATCCTTTTAGTGGTAGATTTATGGTAGTTTTAGATTTTGGTTGATTATTATTGACATCAAGGGTTTATTTTAAATTGATCCCATTGGTGTAGAGTCTAATCTAAATTCTGTTTATGATGCTGAGTCTATACTAATCATATCATTTGTTAATAGCAACTTCTGGTGTTTTTATTGCTATAAATTGATCAATACTATCATGTCGCTATTTGTCTACTTCATCATATTCTTGTTTTCTTTGGGGTTTCTGTCAGCCAAACTCCAATTTGTTCATTTTATTTTAGGTTGTTTTAATTTATCTAGCCTACTAAACTACTATATAAACTTAAAACACATTAAAAAAACAACAACACTAAAACAATGTTTGTAACAGAGAAAAAATATAAAAAGACATATAAATACTATATTATTATATATAAATAGATAAAATAGATAAAAAATATGGCTTTTTTGGATTGGTTTTTTTTGCCACCCTGAATAAATTGATGCCTATTTAAGTGTCAACCCAGAAAACAGAAAAATTTAGTAACAAAGATTACTAATTAAAAAATTACTAATTTTTTTCATTTTTCATGCCATCAATAAAATAAAATTGTAATATTAAAAAGTGACAGACATAATTTGCTAAGTTCTTTAAAAGAAGGGTGATAACAAAAGGGACATCTGATAACATAAGAGATACTTGACAACATAAGAGTTATCCGACAACATAAGGGATATCTGACAGATATCCCTTATGTTGACAAATTGAGAAAAATAATGATTGTAAAAAAAGCAAAGTGCAAAAAAAAAGTACAAAAAAAAGTTTGGCACAAATGTACCAGTTGCACCATAATTAATTTGGCACTGAATTTTTATATGTTAAGATTGATTTAAAATTTGAGTGTTACTTTTAAACACAATTTTAAAAATATCACTCAAATTTTTAACCTGTTTGTTATTTTTATTTGTTATTTTACCTGATTTTTGTACATTTGAATAATTTCTCCAATTAAAAAAGTTCCTACTTAAACATGAAATAAAATACTTTTTTTTTAAATGAAAGATGAAGTTAATCTAAAAATAAATACCTGTCAATTAGTTCTTTACAACTCACGACTGCTCTAATCAACTTTGCAGTGAACCTTAAAAAAATATTTTTTAAATACATTGATCTACATATGATAAATATTCTAAATGTTTAAAAACCATTTATACAAAATAGTTGTAAAACCTGTACTGATCAAGCTCTTGTTCAAAATGTTGCAGAGGAAAGCTGAATCCCGGGTTAGATTTAATAACAAGTGGTTCCCGGTACTCAAAGTAAGCATAGCTATTCCACCAATCTGCTAACCAATTATCTGTAACTTTTGCCTTTTCTTCTAACTTGTGCTGGAGTTTTTCACCAACACCACCAGGTACTAGAAATTCAGAAACTAATTTCTTTGTTTTTTCAAGCTGGTTTTTATTTAATAATGGCTCGAGTGCTATAATATACTTATTCATAGTTTGATGCAAAGGTGGAACTGGTAAATGTGGCAGACTATTTTCCATTGCCATCATAATTCTTGAATGGTGCCTAACTTGAGTTAAGTTTTTCATAATAATATAAGACATTTTTATCTAAAAATATAAATATCACTATTAATAATAGCATAAACAAATTAGATACTCAACTTATACAAAATACAAAACTTATAAAAAATTAAGATTTTAGCTTCTTACTAAACTTTTATTATTATTATTCTGATTCACTACCAATGCTGTAAACAACCATTATTTAATTGAGAGTTACTAGAAAACAAAGAATAGAGTTAAATAGCAACGTAGTAGAATACAAATTAGCATAAGCTATGTTGTAAACTGGTTTTTATATTTCCAAAAAATGTTTGCAAGAAGAATTTGCTATGTTGACAAGAAAAATTTGAAATAATTACCCATATAGATCAAGAAAATTTACTAAACAAAAAGTCTGATTTAATTTCTAAATGCAGACATGAAAATAAACATCTTTTAAAAACTTATAAAAACAAATGACCGAAATAAAATTATCCTAATTCTAAAAAATTCTTTAATTAATTCTTTAATTTAAAGATTTCACAGCTAATATTTTTAAAAAATAATGTAGCTAATGTATCTTCCTGATTCTAACATAACTACAGTTTTTATAAAGTTTAATAACAATTCCCAACTTCCTGTGAAATATTTTTTCTATAATTTGAATCTTTTGATATTAAGACATTCTTAATTTAGTTATTACTATAAGCATGGCAAATTTTAGATTTTGATGGCAGGATGTACACCTCTACTAGTCCTTGCTTAGAAAGCAAATCCTATAAAACAGCAAGACATGGAACAGGTTGTCCTGGGTTATATGCTACTAGTAGCAGGTTAATCATGATGACCATATACCTGACCTGACAATAATAAATGTTGATCATCTAAATATTAGACATCTAAATATTAGACTAAATAATCAAACTACAATAATAAATTACATAACAAATTATTTAAAATAATAAAATAAAACTTAATAATTATTATTTAATGTTTCAGTTGCTTTTTTCTAGATAACTTTAAATAAATGTCAATATAAATGTCAATATACTTTTATTTAAGTATCAAGCTCTATTACATATTTTTCTAAGTTTCTATGCACAAAAACGAAAATCTCAGTTTATTTTTATTAAATATTATTTTATATATATTTTTATTATGTATTATTTTCATAATATATTGTTATATATTTATATTTTTTATATATTTTATTATAAATATATATATATATATATATATATATATATATATATATATATATATATATATATATATATATATATATATACAGGGTGTATACTTAATTTCTGACCCCCCACATGTTACAAACACAAGATTTTGAGTTGCTCTCTTAAATGCTACTTTAGCCCGAAAAATACTAGTATGTATTTTGGTGTAACTATACTTTCTGCACGTAAAATGCTCACTTCAGATAGGATATGACCTCAGAAAATGTTTATGGGAGCCATTTTGTCAACATACATAAAAATGATATTTTCATTCTCCTTGTCTTCCACGGCCTTTGGCATTATGACTATAGTTTTAGCTGGCCTGGCAACTCGCCCGACTTAAATGTCATTGAACATATTTGGTCAAGACTCCAGGACAGTGTTTTACACAATCCTCGACCTCGTAATCATGAGCAGTCAATCAGACATGTTGAACAGGAGTGGGCTGCCATTATGCAAGAAGAGTGCTTTTGCCTAGTAGAAAGCCTGCCAAGGAGAATTACCCAATGCATAGAAAGAAATGGACAAAATACTGATTACTGACTATTAACATATATTATTTGTCTAATTAAATTGATATGACAGTAATAAAATGGTATGTGTTGAAATTCCGTATTCTTAAACCCAGATATAGGGGGTCAGAAATACAGTATACACCCTGTATATATACATATATATATATATATATATATATATATATATATATATATATATATATATATATATATATATATATATATATATATATACAGGTCTGTAATATATAGACTTTGGTTTTCAAGATATCCAACTTCCAGACATGGAGCAAACTCCAAACATTTATATGTTTATACTTATGTCAAATAAGGATGCTTTGCAAAATATTGCAATGATTGGAGCTTGGGAAAAAAAAAGTACCAAAATTTGTGCTCCCCCTGCCCCAAACATGAGAGAGCAACAAGTTGATGAAATATTTTTTGTACTATTTTAACTAGACTTATATTTATCGATAAATTTTAAATTTCATAGTAAAATATTTCAGCGTTCAAAAATTTTGACACAAATTTTGGGATTTTATTGTTCCCAAGCTCCAATCTTCGCAATTTTATGCAAAGCATCCTTATTTGACATAAGTATAAACATATAAATGTTTGGAGTTTGCTCCATGTCTGGAAGTTAGATATCTCAAAGACCAAAAAATGCTGGATACAGACCTGATATATAAAAATTAAATAACACACAAAACCAATGGTATTTTTAGTTTAAATTTTTGTTTGAAAAAGATGTGTTAATTAACCATATTAATTTAAAAAAATTAAAATCATTAATTAAAGATATGATTACTTTATATGAATGAAATACTCAATGATTTACGCTATCCTCAATTCTTAGTATTTGAACCAATTAGTAAAAATGGGACATATTGATCAATGCTTTTATGAGATGTTTCAGGGTTATTCGATCAAGCAGTTTTCAGTAGGTCTGTTAAATCTCTCTCCCCTAATAATAATAACAATATAATAACACCAATAATAATAACAACAACAAAATTAACTGTATTTTTTTAATAAAAATACAGTTAATATTTTTGTATAATATTGGAATAAACTAAATAATAAACTTTAAAGAATTGAGTTTCAAATGATAACGCTTTGATATTTTTTATAGATTTCAATCCATAATTATTGGAGTGGTATTTTGAGACAAACAAGTTTAAATTGTTATTGGATTGAAGATGATAACATTAATTTACACTTATGCAAAATGAATGAAAACTAAAAGTTTTATTGTTAGTGATTCCATACAAATTGGCACTTTAGGAATTTAAACTGCCAATTTGCAGTTTAGCACATTATGATTAAGAGTCATTAATATAAAAACAAAAAAAGTAGCAATTATAAACTAAATCTGGGGGCATGAGAACATTTTACAAGACTTAAAGGATTAAAGTCTTGTAAAATGTTTTCATGTCCCTTGGATTCAGTTTATAATTGCTGCTTTTTTTCTTTTTATATTAATGATTTTAATATCACAACATCAATATCTTTAATATCACAATTAATGACTTTAAAATCACAATTTCTTTCTATCAATGTCTTAAATTAAGCCATTGATAGAAACAAATTGTGATTTATCATGTAAATATGTTGTAAACCATTTTCTGATTTTTTCAATTTAATAGACTGACCTACGGTATCAAAAGCATTCTATAAATTGACAATAACACCACATGTAATATATTTATCATTGAGAGTTTTTCTAATTGATTCGGTCATTTCAATAGTAGTGCAAATCGTGCTGATGTATGAAAAGCTTTACATACTAGGCTCTGACTTTCCCGGAAAAATTTAAATGCCTTTAAAGACATTTAAATATTTCCAGGAATGCGTAAGTAGTTGATTAGCTATGTTTTACCCACTTGATACTGTTTTTTCTTGAAATTTAACATACAACTTTAAATGTCTTTAAAGACATTTGGTGGTGGTGGGTCGGTAATTGTGAAAACCAGTTCAGAGCTTTTTTTAAAGATTAGAATGACTTAAGCAACTTTTAAAACATCTGGAAAAAGTACAATTTTTAAATGAGTACACAAATAAATAATAGTAAAGAAATATAGATATTTGATTTGATTTTTATTATTGTTACTCTGTGTATAGTTTTGTCTAAAGGCAATCATCATTCATGTAATACAAAAAAAAACATTTTTAAAATTAATAGACGGTGTTGCGTTAAAAAAGTTAGTCGTTAAAAAAGTTTACAAACTGTTATACGCATGCGTTACGCTTGCGCAGTTTTGATAAAAAGTTTCCGTTAGGGAGTGAAATTCAGCGTTAAAAAAGTTTCATCGTTCCATTAGGGTATGTAAAATTTTAAATATAAACTCATGTTATAGTAAAAATGGCTGTTCACGTTTACTCAGTTGATGATGTGAAACAGTATTTTTTTGATGGAATAATTAAGTTTTTTAACTCACGGCGTATAGCTTTCTTAAAATATGCAAAAAACTTTAAACTTTGTGGTATTTGTTTATTTATAAAATGGTAATATTTAATATATATATATATATATATATATATATATATATATATATATATATATATATATATATATATATATATATATATATATATATATATATATATATATATATATGTATATATATATATATATATATATATATATATATATATATATATATATATATATATATATATATATATTGCCAAATAATCTATTAAGCACAATTAAAATAAATTTTTTAATAAAATTAACAACACTTTTAAAATGTTTGCTATACATGTGTCAAACTACTACGATGGACTATCTAGTTCAAAACATTTATAACAAACATTTTAAAAGTGTTGTTAATTTTATTCAAATTTATATATATATATATATATATATATATATATATATATATATATATATATATATATATATATATATATAATTTTTCGTAGATGGTAAATTGTACTACATAAAATCATCTAAGAAGCTCCTAGTTCTTTTAACAGATCATGAAAAAAAGTTGGCTTTCAGAGATGTCCATGATTCTGATCATGGGGCACATGTTGGTCTCAACAATACTAGAGCTAAACTAAAAAGTTCTTTTTACTGGCTAGGTTATTTTTTTACTTAAATATAGATTTTTAAAACTAAAGTTTGTTAAATAAATTTGAAATAAAAAATGCTAATTCATTTGCTTATGATACTGTTATATATTAAATTTCTTTGTTTTTAAGGTATGGTTAGCGATATTACCAAATGGATCAAGGGATGCGACAAATGCCAACGAATGGAAAAAATTAAAACTGTTGCGCCTGAATTAAAACCTATTAGGGTAAATGGTCTATGGAATTTTTTAGGTATTGATCTAATTGGCCCACTACCTATAACATCAAAAGGGCAAAAATATATTTTAACAGTGACAGACCTCTGGAGTAAATACGTTGAAGCTTTCCCAATTCCTGAGAAATCTGCTTTGTGTGTATCTAAGTGTCTCACCACTTTATTTTATCGGTTTGGTCCTCCAAAAAAAATTCTTTCCGATCAAGGCAGGGAGTTCGTAAACAGTGTAAATGAGCTTTTATTTTCTTTATTTAATGTCAAAAACCTTATAACATCTGCTTATCACCCACAAACAAATGGGCAAGATGAAAGAACAAACCAGAATGTTAAGAGAGCTCTTTCAAAATTATGCAATGAAGCCCAGGAAAACTGGGACGAGTTGTTAGAACCAGTATTATTTGGTCTTCGCACATGTGTTCAAAAATCAACTAAGTTTTCACCATTTTTTCTAATGTTCGGCAGAGAACCACAATTATTTTCAGCTTTAGCAATGAATCCAACCAATTCAAACCTTATTGATGGTAATATTGATATTCATTCAACTGAAAGTCAAATTCAAGAAAGAATTGATTCATGTAATAAAGTCAGGATTGTGGTAAATTCAAATATTTTAGATGCTCAAACAAAAATGAAAAAGTATTATGCTGCTAAATAGATGAAGGGTTGTAAATCATTTTCATTTAAAATAGGTGATAAAGTTTTATTAAAAAACTGCTGAAAAATTGGTCGTAAAGGGAGCCGAATGGAGCACGATTGGCTTGGACCTGCTACAATCACAAGCGTTAAACAAAATGGTGCTGTTGTAACTCGTAATGGAAAAGTTTGGAGGAATGCTGTTGCTTTAATAAACATGAAGCCATATATAGAAAGAAAAATCAGACTTTATCATCAGCAATAATATTAAATGAACCCAATTATTGTCTACCAAGGAAAATTAAAATGGCAAGAAATAACAAAAATATAATAGAACCTATAAAATCAAACAAGAGACATATAGTTGACTCAAAATGCTATGTTAAAGATAAAAAAAATAAATTGACTAAAGTGGAAAACTCTTTATCGAAAAATGTATACCCTGCAATTTCTGTTAACAATAAATTTTTTTTAAACTTATCAACACAGTCAGTTAAATTAGGCCTCAATATTTTAAAAAATCCATGTGGTTGGTTAAATGATACATTAATAGATATAGCTCAAAGCTTCCTATCATCTCAGTTTCCTCATATTGCCGGATTTCAAAGTTCATGTATTTTTAATAAAAACAATTCAGGGGGTTACATCCCTTCAGGAAAATTTATTCAAATACTCAATGTCAGAAATTCACATTGGATACTGATAAGTAATGTGTCATCTGATACATGTTTAAAATCATCAGTTCAATATTATGATTCTCTTTTTACCAGTTCAAAAGAAGATGTTCCATTACTTGTGCATCGTGTTGCTCAATCATTATTAATTTGTGAAGATGTTAACTCTATAAGTTTTGATGTTATGAACTGCCAGACCCAAGATAATGGGAATGACTGTGGTCTTTATGCTCTTGCAAATGCTACAGCTCTATGTAATGGAATTGATGCAAGTTTAATTGTCTGGAAAAATAAAAAGTATGAGAAAACATTTTCTAATGTGTATTGAAAAAGGTAAACTTGAAATGTTTCCTTATATAACCATATTAAATGGGCTTAAAAGATGTGCTTTATCCTTTCTTTGTGATGATACCTGTCATTGTGCTTTGGGATAATTTTAAGGTAGGATATATTATTATATTTATGATTTTTTAAATGACTATTTGCATATGTAAGATACTGTCAAAAAATTAAAAAAAAAAACAAATTTATTTATAGACGCTTTTGTGATAGAAAGAAGATCTATTTTCTTTTTGATGCATTCAAATGAAAGAAGGAAACTGATTTTTGTTGATTTTTTATTTTACAAGTTTATAAAAAAAAAAAGTTTTTTAATTTATATTTTGCAACAATAAAAAAAATATTTTTCATTTTCTCACATCTTGAACATAAAGTTTTTTTATAATTATTTTTTATAATAGTTATAAGTTTAAAGGATATTATATTTCTTTTGTATTGAAAGAAATATTCTTATTTTTACCTACCATTTTTTTATTTCAGCTGGTGTACTGTTGAAACATGGTTTTAATTTAGTAAATTTTATGATTTGAAATTTGCTATATTAATCATAAGCCAACAGGGAAAATCTAGAACTCTGCAAAATACAAGGTAAGAATAATTTGGTTTAATGGTAACAAAACTTTTTTTTATGTCCAGATAAGCAACTTTGTGCTACTGTATTATGCTTTGTTCAATATTTTAGCCATTGTTGTGCTAATAATGATATTTATTTATAATAATTTACTTTATGCATGGTGGCCACAGTCCTAGAATGTCCTGGAATGTCCTGGATTTTTGCAACTGTCCTGGAATGTCCTGGAAAATTACATTTTTTTCGAAAAATGTCCTGAAATGTCCTGGAACTTTTTTTTCTTCTGAGTCAAGTTAAAAAATTACTAATAATATTGAAGTAATATTAAATTTTTTATGCAAAAATTTTTTTTATATAAATAGTTTGAAATTAATTTTAAATAAGAGAGTAATAATAATATAAAATTCTATTCAATAATTATAAACTATAGTTCAATCAATATGAAAAATATAACGTAAAAATAATTGATAATATTCATTTAATAAGATATAAAATGTCCTGGAAAACGCAACAAAATGTCCTGGAATGTCCTGGAATTTAACTTTTAAAATTTTGTGGCCACCATAATATGTCTTATAATTATTTTTAACAGAGTGTCTCGGAAGTTACTCTAATTTAATAAGTTTTTAAAATTATTTTAAATTTAACTGTTTGTTAAATACGTTTATCTCTAGACGTCTTATATTTCTTGTTTTTTAAGAAATTAAAACTCAAAATATTATTTAAGTTTAATATTTTTAAAGTTTAAAGATTATGCAAAGTTAATTTTTTTTCAAATTATACTTTTTATAATTGAAAAAAATAATTTTAATCAAAGTCGTATTGTTAAAAAATACTTTGAATAGTCTTTATTTAGTTTTTTTCTATGTATTTGGCTTTCATGGCTTCTTGTCGAAGTTGGCTTTCATCCCCATTTTGATTGCGGTAATAAATGTTTGAAAAGTAACTCTATAAAGGAAGTTATGAAATCCTTAACTCCACTTCACTTTCTATACACAAACACACACCCACGCACACACACAAATAACAGTGGAATTGGCTGAACAAATCAATAGTTTTGATTTTTAAATTGACTTGATATATGAGCTGATATATCTCGAATCAGTCGGACTTCTAATAAAATATTTCCGCTTTTAGTCTAGAAATACCACATTCCTCCACATTTAGCACTTCTAGCAATACCAGCTGGTATAAGCTAGGTAGTTAGCTATTTGTAGTAATCAGTTTAGCAGGAGCTTATTTAATAGTTAATAGTGGCTAAAGTAGCGATCGGCTTTAATAATTAGAAACACAATAAAAATTTAAACAATATAGAAAAAACGATAAAAATATAAAAATTAAATCATAAATATTTGTTCATGTTTTGTACATCTTACTTACAGTCATTCTGGGTAACTTTGAATTTGCGGGTAACATTGAACTAAACGTGTAAATGTTTTTAAATTGTTTTTTCTTTGGTATTTTCTTTGCCTGTTGCTTTAACAAAGAATAATATGATGAATTATCTTTTTTTACAAAAGTTTGACCAAAGAAAATTAAATTTTATTTCTCAAAAATAATGTTTTCCTTCATTTCCAGTTACACAGTCGAATGTGGTGATAACATCGTGTGTTTTCAATTTAGAATATTTGGTAGTATATTGTAATTATCTGAATAGATTTTTAAGTATTTTATTGAATTATTTTTCGAACTTTAATACTAACTCAAAATAATAGGATTTAACATGTTTTTTGCTACAAAAAGGATATTTATTTCCACTTAGCTAAAATATAACCAAATTCAGAGTAACTTTAGACAATCAATATTTTCCAAAAATGCTTTTTTTGCTGTCTGAGTAACATTGCAATAATACATAATAAATAATAGGCATCCTTTTATTATAGTATTTTTATTATATAATGATATACGATATTATAAATATCAAAAGTTATAATATCTATTACTATTATATTATATTAATTTTTGATATTTATGGCTATCTTGATAGATTTAATAATATATTTTATGTTTAAGATGATTTATGTTATTAATTTTCATTAATAACATAAATCATCTTTATATTTTTAGCATTCATAAAATGCCAAGAAAATGTTCGACAACTCATCCTGGCACAAGAAAATATGGCACTAAATCTAATTACACCAATTCTACACTTCAAGAGGCTTTAGCCAAAATTAAGTTAGAAAAAATGTCGATTGGTGAAGCTTCTAAAATTTATAAAGTACCTAAAGCAACATTATTATATAAGCTAAAAAGTAAACACTGTAAATCAGTAGGGCGCCCTATTGCCCTTATTATTGATGAGAAACTTTGTTTTGAAAATCACTTACTTTATTTAAGTGACAAAGGTATACCAATTGGAATTAATGATTTTAAAAGTATTGTCAAAATCTATCTGGATGATAGTGGAAAAAATATACAACAGTTTAAAGATAACCGACCCGGTTGGGAGTGGTGTAAACTTTATCTTGACAGGCATCCATCATTAAAAGAAAAAGTATCTCATTGTATTTCAAGGAAACGTGCACAGATTAATTATTGTCAAATAAAATTATTTTTTCAAAATCTAGAGAAGGAATTAAATGGAGTAACGCCAGATAACATTTACAATATGGATGAAACAGGGTTTCATGATGACCCTGGAAAAAAAAAACTTATTTTTTGTCGATCCTCTCGCCATCCAGAACTAATAAGAAACACAACAAAAACTTGTTACGCAGTTGTTTTTTGTGGAAATGCCTCAGGAAAACTAATTCCACCATTTTTCATTGTTAAAGGAAAACACAGTTAGTCTGACTGGCTTTTCAATGCACCAGAACGATCAAGAATGGCAACTTCTTGCAGTGGCTGGATGGAAATTCAAATATTTGAAGAGTGGCTGTTAAATCACTTTGTTCCAAATATTATAAATAAGGAAGGTAAAAAAATTCTGATTTGCGATAATTTAAGTGCTCATATATCTTTAAAAGCCTTAAATATATGTGAAAAGCATAATATAACATTTATATGTTTGGTACCCAATTCCACACACCTTTTACAACCTTTAGATGTTGGATATTTCTCGAGTTTAAAAGCTGATTGGAGGTCAGTTCTTAATCAATGGCGTAAAACATCCAGAGGAAAAAAGGTTAATAACCTGCCAAAATATTTGTTTACGCAGCTCATTAAATCTACTCTTAATGTTGGTAAAGAAAATCTAGAACATAATTTCCAAGCAGGATTTAAGACTACTGGCATATATCCATTTGTACCAGAACATGTTCTCTCCAAATTATCCAGTTTTACAAATATAGATATTCAACTCAATATTGAAGAACCGTTTAGGAATTATGTTGATGATATTCATCTTAATTATGAAGTAAGCAAAAAATTTAAGTTACCAATAACAGCAGGGAAAAGTGTATCAGCCACTAAGGTAGAAGCATACTATAAGGCAAGAGACAATAAAAAAAAAGTCAAGATAATATTCGAGCAAAGAAAAGAGGAAGACCACTTGGATCAAATAATATGGTTATGAAAACAAACAAAAAACTTAATATTTTACAAAGTTCAAGCATCGTAAATGTTAATCAAGTTATTGAAGACAATGAACAAGTTTTACTTGTATCTCAAAATGATGCTGTTTTTTCATTGGAGCAAATAAACAATCACTATGTACAATTTTTCCTTGATCATGATTATTTTGTAAAAGAATTAGCTGTAACTCAAAACTAAAATAATGAAACACTGTTATATTTAGTTTTATAGTCAATGGTGTTTATTTGTGGAGAATTATATAAAAATAATGTCTTAATTATTTTTTCTTTTATAACCTTAAAAATTATTTTGTGAATATTTTATTGAAAAACTTGTTTGTTTATTCTCGAAATATTTTATTGAAAAACTTGTTTGTTTATTCTCGAAATATTTTATTGAAAAACTTGTTTGTTTATTCTCGAAATATTTTATTGAAAAACTTGTTTGTTTATTCTCGAAATATTTTATTGAAAAACTTGTTTGTTTATATTCCCAAAATAGTTTAACTAGATTTTTTAAAAAATTAATTGAAACTAATACAAAGAAATTTAAACAACTTTTTAGATTTAAAAGATTAAAATTGACATTCAGTTTAATAGAGTTCAAAGTTACCCGAAAAGCGAGGGTAACTTTGAACGCCTACTTGAACATTGTTTTTTGCATAATATCTAGCAAATTTAAAAAAATGATAACAAACTAGAAAAAAGAGATCTTCAGAACACCCTTTATGTAAAAATATTTTTTATCTAGTTAGTAAAACAATTTTTGTAGAGATAAACCTAGCGCAAACCGTTCAAAGTTACCCGTAATGACTGTACAGCTAAAATATTTTGCATATTCGCAAGGTTTGCGCTGCCATTTTTAAAACTTTTTTAACGGGTAAACTTTTTTAACGCCTACATGCGTTAAAAAAGTTTTAATTATGTTGCGCACGCGCACTATTCACATTTTGTAAACTTTTTTAACGGCTAACTTTTTTAACGCAACACCGGCTATTTATTATGGTCATGTCTAGATATCTCACTCGCAACGATTTTATTTTTCTCAGTAATTTACCGAACAATATTGACATTTTTTTCCGATAGCAATAAAAACAACAACAACAACACAAGTGTATTTTTGATTTATTGATTGCGTTGTTATTTGTTTTTAAAATCCATCAGGGTTAAAGTTGAATTTATTGAGTTGTAGTCATAATAAATTCATGGATATAATATTTCTGAACGGTAAGATTGCCATTGATATACATTAAAGTATATGTACCCTCTATATATATACCTAGTTTTACCTTCAAAAAACAACCAAATATAGTATTCAATCTACTTAATACTTATCAATTCACTCTTGAAACATTCTCCCATTTTAAAGAAAAATAAAGCTTCAAAACATTACTAGAAATGCGTTCATTTCTAATATCAAAAAATTTATTCTCCACAAAAACACTCAATAAAATTCTAAAACATCATAACTGCCTTATAACTTCAACTATTTTTGACTATTTGTCTAAGTTATATTAGTTTTTAATTTTCACCTACTTTTAAACCTATTAAAAGGTTTAAAAATAGGTGAAAATTAAAATATAAAATAGAAGGATAAAGAGTAAAAGAAAAGGTAACTGAATATATTCAGTTACCTTTTCTTTTACTCTTTATCCTTCTGTTTCATATTTGTATGCGTGTATGAGCCTGTTTGTATAATTATATGCATGTATGCATTGTGTCTATGTGTCCGTGCATATAAAAATTTGTATAAGTATACACATTTTTATATGTATATGTATACACAAATGTATAATATATTTACTTATTTATATGTGTTTATTTATTACATATACATATGTATATGTATATATATATATATATATATATATATATATATATATATATATATATATATATATATATATATATATATTTATATATATATATATATATATATATATATATATATGTATATATATATATATATATATATATATATATATATATATATATATATGTATATGTATACACATTTTTATATGTATATGTATACACAAATGTATAATATATTTACTTATTTATATGTGTTTATTTATTACATATATATATATATATGTATATGTACGTATCTTTGTGTGTGGGTATGTGTTTGAGAGGGTTTATTGTTATTAATTTGTTGTTTTTAATCATATTATGTACTGTAGTGTTAATGGCAAAAAAAATTTTTGTGATCTTTTTTTTCTTTTCATTATTATATATATATATAATAAAAATAAAAAAAAGATCACTAAGAAAACTTTGCCGTTAACCCTACAGTATCACTTTTGAAACAGCAAAAAATGAGATAGTAAGAATAAGCTATATCGTTTTATCAAAAATTAACAATGAACTTCAAAGTAAGTTATTCATTAAACAATCACAAAGCACTTTAAACATCACTGACTGTTTTTTGAAAATTATAGATAATCATCTTTACAAGTTTTTAGTTTTCGATATCAATGATTTTTATTCTTCAGCAAGTGAATAAATGCTTAACAATGCAGTCAACTTTACCGAAAAACATCTAATAATAAATACTGAATACAAAACATTAATAACAACAAAGATGCGTGGATTAAGAAAAAAGGTGGACTCTTTGATTTTACAATGGACGCTTACGATAGTGCTGAAGTATGTGATTTAGTAGGAATGTTTCTTTTATTCCAACTTTCACTTTATTATAATAGAGATGATTTTGGTCTATATCGTGATGACAGGCGAGTGATATTTAAAAACAAAAATGGCTAGCCAGTGGAGAAAATCAAAAAAACATTTTGTAAAAATTGTTTAAAGTAAGTAACTTCTTATTTCCATCCAATGCAATATGAAAATAGTTTACTATCTCGTCGTGACATTTGACCTCAATAACAATTTTTTTCAACTATACTGTAAATGCGACAATGAGCTGAATTATGTTCACTCTGATTCAAACCACCCATCTAGTATTAACAAAAGATTCCCTCGCACTTTCGAATTGAGATTATCTACCACGTCAGTAAATGAATCTGTTTTTTATAATGCTATTCCACCTTACGAAGAAGCTTTAAAAAAGTGGCTGTAATTGTAAACTGAAATGCCAACCTCAAGTTACTTTGACAAAAATTTTTTTAAAAACAAAAATTGAAAGCAAAAAGTCATATGGTACAACCCTCCATTTAGTCAGAATGTGGAAACAAAAAAAGGCAGTTGTTTACTTGCATTAATTGACCTGCACTTTCCAATAAACCATAAATTTCACTAAATATTTAACAGAAGTTCAATCAAAGTTAGTTTTAGCTGTATAAAAAACGTTAAGTCTATAATTAGTTCACATAACCACAAGATTTTACACTGTGATACAAATTTGAATGCAAGAACTTGCAACTGCATTACTAAGACTGCTTGCCCATTAAACAACCAGTGTTTATTAAGTAATATTGTTTATCAGGCTACTGTGATTGATGAATATTCTAATCCTAAAGAAAAAGAAAAATATATTGCGGTAGCAGCGAGACACCATTCAAACTTAGATACACAAATCATTTAAAATCTTTTTATGCTTCAAAGTAGAAAAATGATACCAAGCTTTCTAAGGAGATATGGAGTTTAAAAGAAAAAAATATAAAGCATACAATAAAGTGGAAAATTATAAAATGCTGTAAACTTATTAAAACAACATCTAATATTTGTAATCTCTACAACCTGCTCAATAAAAACGACAAAATATTATCTAAGTGTCGACATTCCAACAAATTTCTTCTGTCTTCTTTTGATACTGGAGACTAAATAGTTACATCTTTTATTATGTATATAATAATGTTTTTTACAAGAATAATTTGCTATGTTTACATATTGCATATGAAATGCAACATGTAAACATAGCAAATAATACTTGTTAAAAATTTTAAAAATGGTTCAAAAAAAGCAGTTAATATTGTTATTAAAAAGTTTTAATATTGTAATTGAAAAGTTTTAATATTTTTATTGAAAAGATCTAATATGAATATAAAAAAAATTGATTTTGGCTTAAATTTGATTAATGATATCTTTGGGTGTGTTACTGATGGGTCATTTGTCATGAAAAAAATGGAACAAGAACTAGGAATCATCTACCAAATTTGATATTGCTAATTGAATTCATCTTGCTAATTGAATTTATCTATTCTGGATTCTGGATACTAAAACAAGATGAAATTATTTATTTCTATTCTAGATACTAAAATAAGATTTTATTTAATGAGTATGTTAAAACAATTTTTGGAATTAAAAAATGCTATTGGAAAAGCTCTTGCAGATATATTTAGAACAGATTTGATTTCATCAGAAGACAAAATAAAATACATTTCTGATATTCTTCAGACTCTTTAAGTTGTTGTGTTAAGTGTTATGGTATTGGGAAAAGGAGACTGTGATCTAATAAAATCTGATAAAATTATTTTGTTTTTACTACAAAATCGTAGAAAACAAAATACTAACATTGGTCAAAAACTACTCAATGTAGTCTCTGAGAGAATTACTGAAAAAAGGAAAAAAGGAATGTTATTATTATTATTATTATTTATAACATATTCGCTTCTAACAAGGTTGCAAGCAACCATTATTAGAAAGTTACTGGAAGAGAAAAGATGAAGATTGTAGAGCAAGATAACATTTGACAGACGACTTAAAAGATTATAAATTATATGAAGCAGGAAAGCAAGACGAAGAAAGTGAATTGCAAATAACTGATGTTTGAGAAAAAAAACTAAAATAAAAGTTTTTGGAGCACTTAGGAACAGTCACAGAAAAAGGATAAGACTTAATTGAATGATGAGTAACACGAAAACAAATTTTAGTAGATGGCACAAGAGACGTTAGCTCTTTAGAGCAGCACCCATTATAGTTTGTAGAAAAGAGAAAGAGAAGCAACACTACGTCGATGTGATAATGGTTAGAGGTTGGCTGCAAGAACAGGTCCAACTATGTTTACAATGCATTTTTGCACCTTGTCTAAAAAAGAAAG